CTGTGTACGTAGACGACCTACTTATTGTCAGCAAAGACGCATCCAAGATCATATGCGACATTGGAAGGGGAGCACAAGTCAAACTAAAGGAACCGGTGCCATCAGCTCCACCTAGGATGTGATTTCTTCCGTGAGAGAACGGAGTACTGAGTTACGCACCTCCAAATATATTGAGAAGGTATCAGCAACTACAACGATCTTCGGAACATGCCCAAACAAGTCTCATTCCACTCATCAAAGAGACCACCCAGAGACTGACACAACAGAGCTACTCGATATGGACACACAAAAGATATATCAGTCACTCTATCGGTAGTCTACAGTGGGCAATCCAAATTGGAGGTTCGATATCGCCACGGCCACCATGACGATGTCCAGATTTCGGGCAGCACCAAGAATGGTTCACTTAGAGCGAGTCAAGAGAATCTGCGGGTACCTTTCCAAGATCGCGACACGGCATCCATACGTATCCGAAAGGAGGAACCGGATTACTCAGGATTCCAAGAAAGAGTACAATGGGAATACTCATGCTACCATGTGCCAAAGAAGTTCAGCCGCACAACCGCACCGGTACCTCGAGGCAAACGGGTTATTCTCACCACATATGTGGATCCGAACCTCTATCACGATCTCATCAGTGGCCGGTCAGTTACCGGAGTCCTACAACCTAGCGAACAAGACTCCCATCGACTGGTTCACAAGTACAGTCAACAGTCGAGACCAACGTCGGATCTGAGTATTTTGCAGCCCGTACCGCCACTGAACAGATCATTGACCTACGGAGCACGTTCAGGTACCTAGGAGTACTGGTCGACACAGCCGACCATGATGTTCGAGACAACGAGACGGTAGACAACACCGCCTCGATGCCACACTGCAAAGATTCTCAAAAGACACAAATGGCTTCCTACCACCGTACTAGGGAAGCCGTTGCTGAAAGTATCTTGAGATTTCATCATATCCCTGGATCTACTAACCTGCAGATATCCTCAGCAAACACTGGGACTATACATCGGTATGGCCTATGCTGAATGCACTGCTGTTTTGGTCAGGAGATACAAGGATTGCGGTAAGAAAAACTCAGAGTCGACAGTCGCAACTGAGGGGAGTAAAAGCGTTACAGTTCCTCCACGACTCAGAGTATCCGTGTAGATTGAGTCATGTTTTATGATCAACACGATGGAACAGAGAACGCTGGCAAAAACACGTTCTCAACGAAACCAAAGACACGGTAAATGGAGTATTCGAAAGGAGTAAAGCATCCTGCCAACGAACCGTTTCCCGCAGATACCACGTTGACTTCGTATCAACTACCACGATTATTATCCAACACGCTACAACTAGCTTTACTGATCGCATCAATCAAAGCTCACAACACAGATTATGAATTACTAAGAAGCGAACTTTGCATTTACCTTGCACTCGTTCTTGAATAGTTGCAGTTGAATCGCTCGGGTGGTAGCTACCTCTACAAGATCCCTCTATTAAGTAGTATTTTCCCCACGTTAGGAATTCACCATACAAATGCAACCTACCGCAATATGGAGCCAAAACCCAACTCACAACCAAAGCTGACACTACCAATCCTCTCCAACAAAAAGACACAAAACGCCTCCAAGAAATCATAGAACCCTCCTATATTATGGAAGAGCAGTGGACTCAACCATGCTAGTAGCCCTTGGCACACTAGCCTCAGCCAGACCAAAGGAACTCAGGCCCAAGAGAGCTGCAGCTCAACTCCTCGACTATTGCTTCACCACCCAGACGCCACAGTCAGATACCATGCAAGCGGCATGATCCTATCCATCACAGTGATGCATCATACCACTCTGAAACCGAAGCACGCTAGAGTGGCAGGCCACTTCATCCTATCTGACTCACTACAACAACCAAACACAGCTCCCAAACCAGCGGACAAGCTCCCTCCACACAACGGAGCCATCCTAATCATCAGCTCCATTCTACCCATGGTGCTTGCCTCAGCTACGGAAGCAGAACTGGCAGCTCTATACTACAATGCCAGGGAAGCTTGCACAATCCGCACAACCTTGGACGAAATGGGCCACCCACAACCAGCCACCCCGATCCAAACCGACAACGAGGTGGCCGTTGGACTCGCCTTTAACACAGTCAAACAACGACGATCCAAAGCAATCGACATGCGCTTCTATTGGATCAGAGATCGCATACAACAGGGCCAATTCCTAGTATATTGGCGCCCTGGCAAAGAGAATGATGCTGACTACTTCAGCAAGCATCACCCGACAGCTCACCACATTCTCAAACGCGCACGCTATCTCCAGCCCATACCTGAGTAGAGGCTGAGGGTGTGCTGATTCCGGCCGTCTGACCGTCCACCGTCAACCAGAATCTAGCCTCCACTCATCTACAGATCCAGAGACAACAAAGTAGCTTTTCCTCATAATCTTATAACATCATTCGTAATACATCTATCGCTACCTTCAGTCTCTTCAACATTGGCTCGCCAACTCAAGTAAAAGTTGGAGAAGCCAGAAAAGCTGAGCGTTATGGCTACCGGATCTTCCTCCAGACCCTCTGACGATCGACGACACAATGGCGCACACAAAATAACGGATCGAACAGCACTCGATCCTTGTCACAACCGAAGCAGTCCAAGAGATAGAGAAGAAGTAAAGAGGCTGGCAAGATAATGTCGTTTCCACCTCCGCCGCCGCCGCCTCGTCCGCCGTCGAATCCTTATCCACCGCCACCAGGCTCGAATCATTTCCCGCCTCCACCCAACAGTGCTCCTTTTCAATCTTCGACGCCCAACGCTCAGTCTCTGCACAATGGGATGAACAACCTCCACATTGCTCCTCCAGGCAGTGCTTACCCGCCCCAACAGCATCATCATCATCAACACCAAGTGCAACAGCAGAGCTACCCAGGCCCTCCCTCACAGCCACGACCGGCTCCTCCCATGACGCCAATGAGGCAGCCTCGGTTTAATCCTCCTGCTCCGTCTACTGCACCCCCAAGTCAGTTTGCTCCTCCTACGCCTACAGCGCGACCACCGCCTCCTCCTCCAAATCAGAATTTTGGGCGTCCCCCTCCGCCCCCTCCGAATCAGAATTTTTCAGCTACCCCTGCCAATGGAATGATGCAGACTCCTGGTCGCGGGCCTCCGCCTCCGTCGCCACAGATCATGCAGCAATCAGCTTCACCCTACCCAGGCGCACCAGCTCCTGGTTATCCCACTCAGCAGATGCGTCCACCGAACCAAGCACCACCGCCTCCAAGGCCTCCACCCATGCCAGGTAATGCCTCAATGAGACCACCCCCACCGCCATCTCCATACAACAACGCTGTGCCACCTGTTGGATATAATCAAGGAGCTCCTCATCAATCCTTTCAGCAAACTCCTGCATATCCAGCAACTCCAGGGGCACCAGGCAATCGATATCCAGCGCCTCCTCCACCGCGACCACCCGGTCCATCACCAATGCCTCCTCGGCAACCACAACCTCCTCTCCCGCAAGATCAACCCAAAATTGACCCTTCGCAGATCCCTCGTCCTCCCTTATTCACAAGGCCCAACGACAATGGTCCCTTGCCAATTTTCTCTCCAAAGGCTGCTGCTGGCCAATCCAACCGCCTAGGACCTCCACCACCAGCCGATTCGCGATACTTTGTGAATGACGATGGCAATGCCTCGCCACAGCTCATTCGGAGCAATTTCTACACTGTCCCCATGGACAGACCCACCTGGCACAAAATTGGACAAGTCGACATGGGAGTGATCTGTTCACCCATGGCATTGCCTGGGCAAGAATTTGTACCCACCATGGGGCCTCAACCAGAGGATGATTCCAACGCAGCAGCAAGCTGTAATAGACGAGCTCCTTTGGATCCACAACGTGTTTCGTTCATCCCTGGAGTGCCAGGAAAGGGCAATGCGTTCATGCCACCTCCACGCTGTCGATCTTGTGGAGCCTACGTCAATCCATACTGGGACATGAACACCAACACGTGCAATTTCTGTGGTACACGCAACGCCATTGGAGAAACCAATTTCGACGTGGTTTGCCTACAAAAGGGAACGGTAGATATCGCAGTCGATGGTCCATACATTACAAGACCAGCACCTGTACAGCCCGTCTTTTTGTATGCTCTGGATCTTACATGTCAGCACGTCGAGGAATATGTCGTTTTGTTGGAACAAATCGGGATAGATTTAGGACGGCATTTCCAACAACAGGCCGCTCTGCAAGAACTCTGGCAGGTTCAGCAACAAAATGGTGGCAACCAACCTTCGTCGGCGGGCCTGTTTCAACAGAGACCTAGGATTGGTGTGTGCTTCGTGGCGTCCTTTGGGATTGTCGTTGTGACCCCGAACGGACCACAGGGAATGGCCCAAACACTGATAATGACCGATGTCACAGAAGAACCCTTTTGTCATCTCCCGTTGCAGGAATGGACGTTTGACCTTTCGACACCAGAGGGAGTCGATAAGTGGACGCAGTTCGTTCAAGAAACTCTGCTAGAGGGAGAGCTGGTAAAGAGCTTAAAAAAGCAGGCGGGGAAAAAGAACTCTTTTGGTTTGGATGGGTATGAATTATCTTGTGGGGGTGCTGCCATGGCATTTTGCGCAGATGCTCTAGCCCAAACGGGTGGTCGTGCTACATGGATTTCCTCTCGGCGACCCAATTTTGGCGCTGGTTTCGTTCGCCCCCGAAGCTCTGCTGGGCAGTCTCGAAAGCAACCCCCCGTTACAGACGCTGCGCCGCTCCAGGATCTGCCTCCCAAAACGGACAATGCACAGGACGACAAAGCAGCGGCATTTTATCGCCAGTTGCAAGCTACATGTGCAAAGAGTCGCGCGGTCCTCGACATCATCATTACTTCCAATCCACAGCACGTTGCTCATCAATGCCTGGATCTGTCTACGCAAGGTGAAATTTGCCGTGCAACATGCGGAAAACTGACTTGGATCGTGGCGCCAGGAATGGCGTGGAAAGAACCATTGGTGGAAGAATTGAGAAGACCCTTGCTGTGCTTTCAAGGGTGGGATGCTGTATTCAAGGTGCGATGTTCGGCGGGGTTGCAAGTGAAAGAGTTTTTATCGTCACCAGGGACGGAAATGGACGCAGGCGGTCTTGCTGCATCACCAGAACTGGACCTGTCGTGTGTCACTCCGCAAACCAACATCGCTGTGGTGTTTGAACACAAAATCGGGGGAATCCCCAAGAAATCGCCATTCGTCTTCATTCAATCGGCGCTTCTGTACACGACACTCTCTGGCCAGCGGCGTGTTCGAGTTTCGACGCTGGCACTGCGTCCGTCAGTGAACGTCCCCGATATTTTCCTGTCGTGCGATTTCACCTCGTTCACGACTTTATTCCTACGTCGGGCAGTTGCCCGCCTTCGTGAGCTCGCAAAAGGGAAAACCGTGAAGGACTTGAATGAGCTGTACAAAGAGGGAAGGGAAGATATGCTAGAACGAATCATCAAGGTTCTTGTGAGTTACCGGCAAAATACAAACGCCATCAATTCACCTCGTGGACAGCTCATTCTACCTGAGAAATTGCAGTTGCTACCATTATTCGGCATGTGCCTCTTGAAGAGCCCGATGCTTCGACCTAGCATTGGCAGACGATTGGGTCCTGCCGTGGTAATCACACCAACAAACGACGAGAGGGCCCACTATGCCTTCCTCTCTACAATCGTCGGGCCGGCTTCAGTGTTTTTGCTCGTCCACCCCAACGTGTTCTCTGTTGGAAAGCCTATGCTTGAAGGTGTTGGGGACTGGGTCAATCCTCCTGGTGCCGACAGTGCGATGTCTGAGATCAGTCAAGCGTCGTATCATTCGTTCGTGCGGCTGCCTCCGACAATCAACGCCTCGATGACAAGCATCTTGGATGACGGGATCTATTTGGTCGACAATGGTCTGGTTATCTATCTGTTTTTCGGGAAGGATGTCCCGAGAGAAGCAAGGGACGAGCTCTACCATCTGCCGATTTCGGTGTCGCTCTCTGCAGCAAACCAGACACTCACAGATTACGGCAAGCGAGTTCGTCGCGTGGTTTGGCAGCTACGATCTTTCTCGTCAGTGGGAACCAGTGGGAGCAGGGCAGATGTTAGACCTGTCTTTCCACCGATAATCCCTTGCCAAGCAGGCAACTCTAACGAGCTTCAATTCGAGCAGGATCTCATGTACTGGATGGTTGACGATCCAAACGGTGGAGAGAAGGATTACACCGACTTCCTTTGCAAGCTGCATCGTCTGATTCGAGAGAAGATAGAACCAAGTAAGAAATAGTCTCGGGACAGCGTTGGTGTTGGGTGCATATCATAAAACGATTTTCATTTGTTAGAACAGCCTTTGTATATAAGATCTGAAATTCTCTAGTAACGAAGCCTAGCCGCTGCTGACATAGACTGGCTCTATTCCACGCGGGACCTCTTGCTGGGCTTGTCCCGCCCCTTCACTTCGCCGGTGGCGTCTCCCGATCGATCACTATCCTCGCCGCCTTCACTCTCTTCACGTACGCTTTGCAGAGGAGCAGAGAAATTTGCACTTTGGCTTTCCTCTGAAAGTCGAGCCGACCGTAATCCCAGGTGTGATCGAAGTACCGATTCCAGATCTCTCTTTTGCAACCGCACAGCAGTCCGCAGCTCATCCTGCTCTCTCTCCATGGCGCAATCCATACATGTGGCAAATGTGTCGAGGACCTCCAAGAACCGTTCACGTGGTAAGTGGGGTTCGCTGCCGATCATCGCTACTCTCAGCACTTTCCCCTTCGTCATTGAGAAACCCAGAGTTAGGACAGCACAGCCAAGAGGCGGGTCCTCAAAAGCGGCTATAGCACGACATAACAGAAGAACAATCGTCGATGATCCCCACAGCCTCAAGGCAAGAGCTCCGCAATCTTGACTTGTTTCTGAATGCTCGCCAGCGCCATAGTCGGCGCCGGTGCACGAAGAAGCCGCAGCTCCGAGAATAGACACCGGTGGTAACTGCCCTCCACAAGGCGGCCCGTTGCTCAAAAGCCGTTTGATTCTTTCGACATCTTCTACTTCAGTGGCACGTCTGAGTACGGTTCTACCAACATCATCAGGTGTTAGCTGTGATGGCAGTGAACGGCCTTCATCATCATGCTCATTCAGCGCCTGAAGTGCTTTGTCGACCTGGGAGATGCAGGGAACACGATGTGTGAGCGGCATGCTGCAATACTGATCGGCGTGACACGCAGTTTCCTGGACTCACCCTCTCTTCCAATTGTTTCTGTCGGCTAAGCTGGCGAGCGACGGAGCTAGAGTTACTTTCGATATGCCCTGTCGATACATCACCTTCCGTAGAGCTAGTAGGCTTCCTACTACGAGCAATACCGCCATTCTCCTCCTCTTTCTGATTTGACGCTGACTCGACTGTGGCGTCCTGGTTGAGGTTGAGTTTTTCGAATCCCATCACTTGACTGCAAATCGTGGTGGCAGACGAATTCTCTTGATCTTGTTGCTGCTGGATTCCCAGAATTGATCGTAGTTCGCCTGCGTAAAAGTCCGGCAGGGGAGGATCGTTTTCACCAGAAGTGCAGATTGCATTCAATTGAGATAGCGACAAACGAGGAATCTTGGACCTGTCTCGTCGATTGTGGCGCCTTCGATTGCTCGCATTTGCAAAGTTGCGGCTGGACTGCTTGCTTTGCTGTTTCTTTGCGGCATACGCCTCACGGGCCGCCTCTGCTGCTGCTTTCACCTCCACCATACTTCTACACTCCGGGAACAGCATGGCCAGTAGCTTGGCAGACGCCGAATGTCTCGATTCACGCTTGGTGGAAGCAACTCCAACTGCCTCCAGCACCTTTACTTGAGCGCCATCATTGCTTGTGGTCGCAGCGGACTTTCGGGGAGTCTCGCTGACCTCACTTTCTGCTGCCTCGGTATCCTCCTTTGGTTGTCCCTTTGTGATGGGGGAAGACGCTTCTTTGTCCAATGCCTCGGCATTTGAGCATTCTGCTGGCTCCGGGGAGTTTGGGTCCTCGCTATTTCCGCTCGCATGAGGACGACTGGGACTGTTACACAACACTTGCAACGTCGCATTGCAGGTGAACGAACCACGATGGATCACAATAGTGCCACTAGACGACGATGCAGGACCTTTGCGTTTCATTTGCGCATTGGTAGTTTGCGTTTCCGTCATGATGAATGTGTATTGTGGGCCTTCTGGGATTCTGTCATCAATTTGGACCATGGCATGCAGCAGTGCACTACAAACAGATGCGCCCCTGGAGGCGTACCAAGCGTTCTCATCATCTTCTTCGGAATTTGTAGTCGAGGTTGTCCCTGGGTAGACACTCCACGCTCGTTTCAACTTTTTCGACGAGTAGTCGACAGCTCCACGCGGTTGCTGGTTATTGCCGTCGTCGTAGTCATCTTCCCGTCCAGAAGCAATCGCCAATCGTTGTGCTAGATGGGGAGCCAAATCTTCCAACGACGACGGCTGACGCTGTTGTTGGTGATGATGATTGGGACGTCCTCCTCCAACGGCCGCCTGGGGAGACGTCACGGGAGATGGGCTCGGTAGTGCCACCAAGATGCCGCTTTCAGGGTCAAATTGTACTCCAGGCAAGAGCTGCATGAGTGCTTTGCGTGCCGCATCTTGCTTGGCGGACGCTTTGTTGGTTCCACGTCCTCTTCCCCATTCCACGCCATCCTCGAGCAGACAAGAGAATTCGTAGGCACCTTCGGGGCCTCCTCCTTCCTTCGAAACTTGTGAAAGCAGGGCAAACGATGGCTGCCCCAGACGTCGCTTGTCACACCATTCGTACAGAGCCGCCACGGGAGTTTTGCCGTACAAGCTATTGTCCGAAGGAGGTTGTCTCTGTTTCTTTTTGTAGCGATGATAATGATTTCCACGACCTCCTCCTCGAAAGTAGTTGTTTCCGCGATGTCCACCACCACTGCTGTTGTGGCCAGCATATGTATTATTAGTATTGTTGTTGTTGTGATTGTTGTTGGGGTGTCCTCCACTCATGGCCTGATCCGAGTTGTAGGATGCAATCGATGTTCCCAAACTTCCACTGCAACAACTACTATTGCTGCTGTGTTCATCTCGTAGACGGCGTCTATTGTTGGCGCCATTGCCTTGATTCTGATTATTTCGGGGAGTATCATTATGATGATAGTTGTTGTTGTTGTTGCCTGGATTGTTGTTATTATTGTTGTTGTAGTTGTTGTGATGTCGAGGAATACTGATTCCTCCTGGAGGTCTTCGTGTCATTCGCTTGCGTCTATTGTTTCGATACTCATACGAATCGTCGGTATCATTGTTCTTGTTGTTTCGTTTGTTGTGTTGTGGACTTGGTTGTTGTTGTTGCCAATAGGGTTCTCCCTCGCCTCCTCCTCCATCACGAAACTCTCCCTGTGAGTGTCCATAAAATAGGTTATTATTACTGGGATCCACAGCGGCAGCGTGTGGTGATCCCATGGGCGGTGGTCCTCCCATCGGATGACTGCCGTTGTACATTGCAGCATTGGCATTATTACTATTACCGGCAGGGTAATACATTCCTGGAGCAGGGGGCATGGGCAATGCCGGTGGTGGTATATTGCTGGGGTCAAAATGAGGTGGTGGAAGCCTGGACGATGGATCAGGAGGAGGAGGAGGTAGCGTGGATGCGCTGGTGCTGGCAGCGAATTCGGCCGCCTGTGCCGCAATTTGTGCCGCAGCCCAAGCCGCTCCGGCAGCCGCCGAAGCATAGGCAGCGGCATGATCCCTCATTCTGGCTTCATAGTACTGTGCCATGGCAATGGCGTGTTGGCTGGGAGGAGGCGGTGGTTGTGGCGCCACAGCTGGAGGAGCATTGGGAGGTATCATTGGGTTCTGTGGGTGTGGCCAAGATGGACCAGGCGCAAATGGAGGCATTTGTTGCTGTGGGGGTAATACAGGTGGTTGCGGTTGCTGTGGACCTACTGGCGGTCCTCTAGCAGGGTTTCGTGGCTGCTCTTGTGGAGCTTCGTTTGCTGCTTGTTCTTGATTATTTTGCATCAGATTCTCTCCAGCTGGTTCCTGTTGTTGCATTTGTTGTTGGAGTTGTTGAGCTCTGGACAAATCGCCTTCTGCATCTGAGACGACCCCTCTCCCTGTTTCGTTGTGATTGTTGGGATTATCCATGTTGCATTTATTTACATTGGCTCAACTAGATCTATGATAATCTTCTGAGGAAAAACGTGGAGAGGGATTATTCCTTCAAAGGGGAACTGATTCGAAACGTGACGAAGATACCGCCCTAGATTGAAAACTGGGTTGTGGAAGGAGACCAATTCGATTCGATTGAAGGTTCGTTCAAAGGTAGACACTGGTACCGGTAGACTCAGGTATCATACCGGTAGCCAAATGAACACCTGAGGGAGAATCTACCTACTCAAAAGCTATTTGTAAGTCTTCTTGCTTGCCTTTGGTGTGCATTGTCATTGCGGTTGTTGTGTGTTGTCTTTTGGTCAAGAATGGGATTGCTTCCGCGCGTTTAGCTCTAACTCTACACAAATCACTCGTGATTTATTGTTCCAGTCACTAGTACGTGTTTTCTTTCGATTTGACAGTCACTCACTCATCTTCGGCATCAACTCCTCATTGCCACCCTCGGGTACCAACGCATTGGCAGTGCATTGTATGAACAGCATACGAGTAAGCATCCACAGCAGGACACATCAGATCGACTGGGTCAGCCAATCAATCCTTCCTCCCCTGTCATCACAATTTTCTAGATTCCCGCTACTAGTAAAGTGCATTGGCAAAAATACAAAAGTACATCATCATCATAATCATGGTATCATCAGGTGCATCCTCCATCGTATTGGGCCTTGCCATCAGTGCTGCCACCATGGGTGGCCCAGCAGCTGCTTTTGTGGTCGGAAACACGCCATCGCAGCCACCATCTGTGGGAACCAGTACAGTGATGCCATTGATGATGGCCAACAACGGCGATGACAGCGTGGAATCTTCTCGCAAAGAAGTTTTGTCCGCTCTGGGTTGGACGGCTGCTGCATGGGCTGTTTCGGGTACGCTTGACAACAAGGCGTATGCTGCCGAAGAAGGTGAAGCTGCCACTGTTGTTGTGGAGGAAAGCGTCGTCTCCCCGATCCTGCAATCGTCCAACTTGAAAAGTATCAAAAAGGCAGAAAAACAATTGAGCAAGTTGGAGTTTTATGCTGTCCAAAACGATTTCGAAGCCCTCAAGGTGGAGATCCGGAATGCTCCCTTTTCAGAAATCCGAAAGAATTCCTTCAAATTCATCAAGGAATATGCCGGACAGGAAGAAACACAATCCAAATTGTCGGCGTCCTATGACGTCTTTATCACGTCCCTCGAAAAAATGGATCAGAGATCGCAAAAACAGGGCCAATTCCTAGTATAATGGCGCCGGCAAAGAGAATGATGCTGACTACTTCAGCAATAATCACCCGACAGCTCACCACATTCCAAACGCCCACGATATCTCCAGCCCATACCTGAGTAGAGGCTGAGGGTGTGCTGATTCCGGCCGTCTGACGGTCAACCGTCAACCGGAATCTAGCCTCCACCCATCTACAGATCTACAGATATACAGAGACAACAAAGTAGCTTTTCCTCATATATCTTATAACATATTCGTAATACATCTATCGCTACCTTTAGTCTCTTCAACAGGCAACCCCAGTAGATTGCTTCTTCTCGGCATTGATAATACTTTATAACAGCCTGCAAACTACATAATTCAACCTCCATTTTAGAAAAAAATGTGTCTACTAGAATCTGCAATAGCCGTCGATAGCTTCCTGAGGTAGAGAGTCGAGTGGGATACATGTGTCGCTACTACCTCGTGTAGGTTATAAACTGCAGAGAGGTTTGGTGCAGCATCACTCTGATCGTAGTATCATTTCTGTTGACCAGAGAACAACACAGAGAAGGTACATTGCAGCCTTCTGCAGTCTGCTGCTCGCTCCAGCTGTACCGTAGGCCTCTGGCGCCTTGCACTTCAGCATCTCTTTCTCGTGGATAGCGGTGTTGTCACTCGGGGGGGGGTCCAGTCAAGTGTTGTCTGAGGAGCCTTTCTCTTATCGTCCACAAAACACAGTTGCAGGTCGAAGAATCTGTCCCAAGTCCAAAGCCTCTCCAGGTAGAACTTCTGTCTCAAATGAAAACTTTTAAATCGTTTGTCTATGTCCTAAACTATACTATTTCCTCTCTGTGGTCCATCACCCACATCCTCATCGAAAGTACACAGAAAGCGCCACTGCTGTACTTTTTGACTTGAATTTCATTGAATCATTCACTCAATTTCCTAGGAAGACCCTGCTGCAACGGCAGATGCCACGGCAATCCAATCATTCAAAGCTGACTCTGTTGCCTGAAAAGACTTGAGCAGGTCTCCGTCACCGAGTTTGCGTCCTCTCATTCCAAGACTTGCCGTGGAGT